TTTCTATGCCCCTGATTCTATTATATTCACCAGTTTATTCTGTTCATCAGATTTTTTATTCACTTGATTTTTAGATTCACTTGTTGATAGATATGTATTTGTTGTCCATAATTTTTATCTTTGTTTTGAAGAACTTTTTTAAAATGTCAAACACCTGATATACTACCATGCCAGGACTCTCAGCCAGATAGTTATATCTGTCACCCTGACTTTCCCCTGAGCCACTTTGCCTTCTAAGTTCACAATTTCTGTATGTAATAATGATAATATTTTACATTTGTATAATGCTTTCACAGTAACCCTTTGATGTATTTTAAGTTAAGTACTTATTTAAAAAAAATAGTACTTTGTGCCAGGCATTAAGTACTTCACAACTATATCATTAATCCATATAATTTTCATAGCAACTCCATGAGGTAAGTACTATTATTATTCCCACTTTACAGATGGAGGAACTGAGTCACAGAGAGGTTAAGCGACTTGCCCAAGGGCACACAGCTGGTAAGTGGCAGAATATGGAACCCAGAGCAGTCTGGTGCCAGAGTTCTAGCTCTTGTTAGCTATGTTATTGTAATCATTTTGTATATGGAACAGCTAAGATTCAAAGAAGTTAAGTGACTTGACCAGTGTCACAGAGCTAAAAGTGCCCAAGCTGGAAGCATAGAATGATAACATATTGATAAAAGCACTGCAAACTAATGACATAAGTATAAAGAATAATTGCCATCATTTATAATTATTATATTGATTCTGGCATCCTGAGATATCTCTGAGTGATTTTTCTGATATCATAGAATTTAAGAGTATTAGCATTTGAGTTGAATCCTGCCTGTACCGTTTACTGGCTGTTTGACCTAAGGCAAAATACTAAGCTTTCTAAGCTTCAGTTTCCTAATATATGTAACTGGTGTGTTACTTACTATGCAGTGTTTTTGTGTGAATATATGTATGGTACTTTTTATGACAAACTAGAGGCCCGGTGCACGGATTGGTGCACCAGTGGAGTCCCTCAGCCTGGCCTGCGCCCACTCACAATCCAAGACCCCCCTTGGAGGATGTCGGACTGCCGGTTTTGGCCCGATTAGGCATGTGCCCTGACCAGGATTGGGCCGAAAACAGCAGTCCAACATCCCCCGAGTGATGTAGTAGTATGCGAAGCGGCAGGTAGCTGGGCTGGGCACCGCACTACTCCCGCTCATCCCGGCCCCGCTGTGCCTGCTGCTGCCTCCACTCAGTAGTGCTGCCGTGGAGGCGGAGTGGCTCATGTGCAGATGCGTTTGCCAGCTGTGAGCCCGGCATCTGGTGCCCGTCAGTCAGCTGAGCGACACTCCTGCTGTGGGAGCGCACTGACCACCAGGGGGCAGCTCCTGGTTGAGCGTCTGCCCCCTGGTGGTCAGTGCGCGTCATAGCTACCGGTCGTTCAGTCACTTAGGCTTTTATATACCTAGATGATGTGGAGTACTTTGTACAATGACTGACAAATAGTAAGTTATCTCAAATATGGAAGTGATTGGAGGAGACAGTGAAATGGACTATAGTTGTAATGCTGTTTAAAATGGCAGTTGCCAACCGGTGGTCTGCAGACCACTGGTAGTCCATGAGATCCGAAAGGTTGGCGACTGCTGGTTTAAAACATACCAAGCCAATTCTAGGTAAAAAGCAAAGAAAAAGGAACATCTAAGTAGTCCCTTAGTTTCAAATTAATCTTAAACCACACATTTTATCACTGACACAATATGAACTTTAATTAGAGGATATGGCCTAATACCCAGGACTAGTTAAAAAACAAAATCAAGTACTATAGAAAAAAAAATCAGAATACAGATTGGAGAATGAAGAGAAAAATGAAAAGAAAAAATGTATCCCTTTGTTCTTTTCTCTAGGTACTTTCACTTTTTTTTCTTTCTTATATTTCTTTTTCTTATACCTTCACTTAAAAAGAATAGACTTTATTTTTATAACAGTTTTAGGTTTATAGAAAAATTGAGCAGAAAGTATAGAAAAGCCCCTCCCCCCCCAGTTTCCTTATTATGAACATCTTGCATTATTAGTGTGGCATTTTTTTTTATAGTTGTGTATCTTCACTTTTTATGTTGCTGAGTGCCTGGTTCTCTCTTCATTCACCATTCACCTGGGGATCGGAGATGATGATTACTCACTATATAGTTACAGATGAGGGATCCTCAAGGATGTTGCTAAATTGGTCTGAAACCTTCCTGTTCTAAGTAACAGGAATTGAGGATTCTTATGTCTAAGAGAGAAAATCTTGTGATTATTTAGAATATGGCCACATAAGACCACTAAAACTGTGTTGCAGACATCAGCACAGATGAACTTTTTATTTCATTTTTTAAAATATGTAAGTTTTCAGAAATCCTAAAAACAAAATACAGCAGTTTCTTTTTCTTTTTTCTTTTTTTTTTTATTGATTTCAGAGAGGAAGGGAGAGGGAGAGAGAGAAACATCAATGATGAGAGAAAATCATTGATTGGCTGCCTCCTGTACGCCCCCTGCTGGGGGTCGAGCCTGCAACCCAGGCATGTGCCCTTGACTGGAATCAAACCTGGGACCCTTCAGTCCACAGGCCAATGCTCTATCCACTAAGCCAAACCAGCCAGGACTAGCATTTTCTTGAATAGTGTCATTTTGTCATAAGATTGATGAGGTACTGTAGGAACTTAACTTTTGTTAATATCAATTAGTTTTGGTAAAATTGGTTTCATTATATATCACTAGAGGCCCGGTGCACGAAATTCGTGCAGCGGGTGGGGGGGGTCCCTCAGCCCGGCCTGTACCCTCTCCAATCCGGGACCCCTCGGGGGATGTCCAACTGCCTCTCGCAATTTGGGACTGCTGGCTCCTAACCGCTCACCTGCCTGCCTGCCTGATCGCCCTTAACCCCTCTGCCTGCCTGCCTGATCACCCCTAACCACCTCTGCCTGCCTGCCTGATCACCCCTAACTGCTCCCCTACCAGCCTGATCACTCCTAACTGCTCCCCTGCTGGCCTGATCGCCCCTAACCGCCTCTGCCTTGGCCCGCACCCAGGACCCAGGATTCCCTCCCTCTGGCTGGCCGCAGGCACCCAGGACCCGGGCTGGCTTCGTCTAGGCTGGTCACAGCCGCAGGGGACAGTGGGCAGGCAGCTTTGCCCAGGTCACAGCTGCAGGCGCCCGGGCCCATGGGGCTGGCAGCTTGTCCCTCTCCCGGGCCGCAGGTGCAGCCGCTGGCACCTGGGACCATGGGGACCGTGAGGCATGCGGATTGTCCCTGTCCCGGGCTGCAGGCACAGGCGCAGCCTCTGGCACTGGGACCAGGGGGTGGGCAGCTTATCCCTCTCCCCCGGGCCGCAGCCTGGCTGGTCCCCATTCCTCTCTCCCCAGTGTTGAATGTCTGAGCCATTACAGTGTGAGGGTGTGGCGACCATTTGCATATTAGCTCTTTATTATGTAGGATTTTGCTTCAAGTCACAAATCCTATTGATGATGTTAAGTGAGGAGGACATACTGTACTATGAAATCTTCCAGATTCAGCAATTATTAACATTTTGCCACACATGCTTTGCTTATCTCCTCAGTCAGGCCCCCCCCCCCCTTTTTTTGGTGCCTATAAGATTTTAAAACAAATTTCTGATTGCTTGTCATTTCAGCCCTAAATTCTTCTATGTGTACCTATAAGGAAATAAGGACATTTTTAATATAATCACAATGCTATTATCATACCTAACAACAATAGTAATTATTTAATATTACTTAAAATTCAATCCTTTAAAAATATTCCCTGATTGTGTCAAAATTATGGGCAAATGAGTTTTACATTTACACTTTCAGAACAGTATGCTCTGTGTCCTACAGTACAAGAAGGAAGGTAGATCATGTGCTAGAAAGACAGAGTCCTTGTAAGTGTCACCAATTCTGTGTTGGCTGGTGTGACTCAGTTTCTTAGGTGTCATCCTGTACAGCCAAGGTTGCTGGTTCAATTCCCTGTCAGGGCATATGCCCACGTTATGGACTTGATTCCTGGTAGGGGGCATGTAGAAGGCAGCTGATCAATGTTCTACTCTTACATTGATGTATCTTTCTCTCCCTGTCCCCGACTCCTTTTCTCTCTAAAATAATCAGTAAAAATATGTTTTTTAAAAAGAGTTACCAACTCTTTTCCCTTGAGAAGACATAGGGTGGTCAGAAAGTGCCTGAGGGGAAAGGTCTACCTTATTTTGCTCTAAACCTTCATTTTGGGGGGCATTCAACATTCCGTCAACCTTTATTGAGCACCTACAAGGGTCTAAGCATTGTGCCAGATTTGGGGGTTTGAAGGCAAATCACACCCTCTTTCCCTTTAGACTTTTGCAGTGGTTCTCTTTGAAAAGAATAAGATGATAAAATTTGAAAGGAGATATGGTTCTTTTAACCAGGAAAAATCTATAGAATTTTAAGAGATTTTATGAAGAGAAAAATGAAAAGCAAATGTATCCCTTTGTCCTTTTCTCTAGCTACTTTCACTTTTTTTTTCTTTCTTATATTTCTTTGTTTTTTCTTATACCTTCACTTTAAAAAGGCCATTCTGAAACCTGTCTATGGAACCCAGTTAGGACCCCGATCCTAGTGGGTTTTGTTGAGGAAAAGGAAGGTATTGCAGAGATCCTTGAGAGCCATTGGGTGCATGAGTATATTGAGAACAGAGAAGAGCTGGATCTCAGTGGCTGGGGGCTGGCAGGAGGTGTTGGATGACCTGGTACCTCCTGGGTCCCTTTTGTGCTTGGAGATGTTGCTGTGTGGGCCCCTGAAGAGCTCTGACTTTGCTGTGAGCTCAATTTGAGGCTGAATTTTTAGTCTAGCATTTGTGAACTGGGTCAATTTGACTAGTTTAATTTTCTCTAAATTTGGTTTCTTTTTCATTTAGTCGATTATCTAGTGAATATATAATGAGCACCATGTATAAACCAGGCTACTTTTGCTAGGTAATGTCAATTGGAGGTAATGACACCTACCCCCAAAGTGTTGGTACAATGATTCAATAAAAATATATAGCTTAGTATAATCCACATGTCTGGGGTGCAGCATCAGCCATTGGAGTAGAGAGAGATGCTGTTTGTTCAAGCATTTCTTGCATGGTATGTGGGACTTGACAAGTTTCTCCTGGCAGCTCTGTTTGCTGGTGGTCAGAAGTGCTATCTTCTTGGTTTGAGTTTCTCTCCTATTTTTCCAGTGTCCCTTCCTACTTCCAGCGTGGCACTGAAGCTGTCATTGTGTAAGGCTGGGAGACTCTGCAGAAGCTAGTGTGAAGGAGCTGGAAGATCCCTCCCTGGGTAGTCTTCCTCGTTCAATGGAGGGGAGATGGGATTATTACTTTGCAGTCTTTTATCAGTGGAAGTGGGGTATCCCTTTCCCCACTGGGAGTGGAGTTCTTATGATATCCTGAGAAAGAGAATTTTCTGAGACTCACATGGGAGGATGAGTGATTTTTATTTGCGTGGAAGTACATACCTGGGTTTCCAGGGCC